CGGCTGTTCTGACTTACAGTCTGTAAGTACATTTTCATTTAAAGGGGTCATATGATGCGATTTCAATTTTTCCTAATTTTATATAAATATACTTGTTGCTCTCATTTAAACTTTTTGAAAATTTCTTTGTGATTATGGCTATACAATATTTAATTTAAAATTTTAAAATGTTAATTATTTTATATACTTTATTTTATTTTATTTTTTACCCCTGACATTTACTGTATATTTTTGTTGATTTTAAAGGCATTGGTGTTTATTTTTTATGCTGCTCAGCATGTTTTGCTTTTGCATGTGACAAACCCAAATATGTCAACTCAAGTCCAAATATGACTGAAATGAATAAATATCTTTCATAATTTATTCATTAATATTTGTATCAGATCTATACACGTTCCTCACGAGCTGCTGTCATGTACTGCACTGGATTGGCTCAAGATCAACTGTAATACATTATCTTCTGTTAAACGAGTTTATAACCGCACCCTGCTGTCTTTTCCTCCTAATAGCTGTTCGCAGCTTCTCATTTGCCGGCTCTGAGCAGAAGAACGCAGCCTGGATGGGAGAAGATGTGAGGCCCTCACTAAGTGCTGAAGGGCTGTCTTCTGCCTGCCTGCAAGAAAAGAAAAGTAATACAGTATAGTATACCTCAGAAACTTTTGGTCCGTATTTGTCTTTATTTTGCTTTTGTAAATAATTATTGACATTTTATGTGTTTTGGTTCACAGTTCTTGTCAGTTCTGTCAGTGTGGCAGTGGAAGCCATTTTGGCTCAGTTCAGTTCGTCCAGGACTGTTGTACAGAAGGTCAGTTTTGCGCAAACGTTTCTTCTCAAACTTGGCATCATAAACTCCACGTCAGTTTAATATAGACATTCCCACAGAAAAGAAAAATTGAACATTAATAGAATTAGTAAACCGTACCTGTTTTTTCCCTCTCTCTCTCCATGCCACTTCCATGCACTTGGCTTATCTCTTCCTTTTTTCTTTCTCCAGTTTTACTCAGTAGATAAGGTACTTCAAAGTTCATGAACATGAGCTTTGCGAATAACTTATTTTCACACTAACCTCATGCACCTTTCACCTCTTTCTCCTATTTTCATATTCCCTCTCTCCACCTCTTTTATTTATTTTAAACACATTATATATCCTATATCTTTTTTCTCCATTGCTTTGCACATTTTTTATTCGTTCTCTCCATCTCTCTCCCCCTCTTGTCTGCCTATCTTCCATTGCCCTTTTTTGACCTCTGTTGACAGACTCTTTCTGGAGACAGCAGTGTAAATCCCTGTCTGGGTCGTCTGGTACTGCAGTGCCTTTGCCCAGCCCTGCGCAACCTGCTCTCTGATGGACTCAAGCCCCATCAGAGTGACCTCATTGCAGGCAGAAGGCCAAATTCACCCTGGGGATTGGTTCAGGCCTCCACCAAACCAGGTATAAGACATCTGGACCTGGCACACTAGACAATTACCTTCATTTTTCTCTCTCTCCATCTCTCATTCTCACACTTGTTTCGTTCTTTTATTTTCGGGCACCATGAATCCCTGCAGTATTGACTCACCCATCTCTGTCATACTTCCAGTCTTTAAATATTCCTTGGTTTTCTCCCTCAGTATTCTTTGTTTTTGCTGCTCATATTCATTGTCTTATGTTTTCTGTAGCATTAGCAGGATTTCGATACTTTGTTCATCATGGTACACATTAATTCTCTTGCCTTTCCTAGCATTTCATAATCAATGGTTTGCTTGATAACTTACATGTATCTTTTAAAAATCATCATTTATTGTGGTTCTTTAGGCCCGGACACACAGGCTTTGCACAACCTTCAGACTAAAGTAGCAGGGCTTCCCCAGCTTAAGCAGAGCAGACACAAGTTCAACGCATTCCTGTTTGGCCTTCTCAAGTAAGCCAGAACTTTCCTCGGTCTGTCTAAAAACTGATTTTATTTACAAGATATTGATTGTCTCTCTCTTCTTTTTATTCTCCATTGATTTATTCTTTTCTTCTTCTAATCTGTCATGAAGTGTCAAGCTCCTGGATTACTGGCTTTCACATCTGCAGTCCTGCAGTGGTTAGTGTTCACATTTACTGTTGTTCTCCAGTTGTCCTTGCTGGAAAATCCATCTCAAGCTAGTTTTTGGAACAATGGCAGCTAGTGGAACATCTTGGACTGCCAACAAACCAATTACTGACTTATATAACCAGCTTTAGGTGATCAAGCAAGATTCAACCAGCTTAAAACCGCTAATGACAAGTTTAGATCAGCTACCATGTTCCAAAACATTATTATCAGCCCACGCTGGATTTTAGAACAATACTGAGCAATATCAAACTCAACTTTCCCAAGACTGCTTTCAATCTTGTTAAACTGAATAGAGTCAACAAACTGAGTGTACAAACAAAATAGTAACATATTTTTATATTTGATATATAATACACGTAAAAGGCATTGATTTACGTGTTGAGTAAAACAAAATGACCAAAATGCCCTTTTTTAGTACTCACTAAAATGTAATTATATACATTTATTTGATAACCCATAATGAATAGAATTTATTAAGCGTCATAGTAGTAGATCTGTTTTAACCAGTGATGCTTTTATAATTAAAATATATATAAATACACATTTTTAATCATAATTTTTACCTTTGTATTTTCTTGTTCCTCACTCCCACAGATGTGTTGGAGACATATTACCGCCCCGCTTCCTTCATGCGTCTCTCACTAACTTCTTGCCAGCCTCTTTTTGAGGAGCTTCTCCTCCTCCTGCAGCCTCTCTCTCTTCTGACCTTTAACCTCGACCTGCTGTTTCAGCATCACCACCTTGACCCCTCCTCCCTACCTCTCACCCCAGCCAGTCACACATCTGAGATATATAGCCCACCAAATGAAGACTTCAGCTTCCACTTGTCACCCAAGGGGCTTTTCCAAGGAAGTGGCCATCATCTTAGAAGCGTGTTAGAGCAAGGTTTTGGCAGTTTGGGTTTAGACCCCAATCCTAATTCAGGTCTCACGAGTCACGTTCTTGATCTGTCAGCCTATCGCAATCCAATTTCGCTGTCGTCAGGCATCACCAAGGAGGAAGCCAGTCCGCCATTATCATGGTTTAAAGAGAATGAGACCTCCATACCTCTTGATGCCGGAAGCCTTTCCCAGCAGGCAGGCCAGGCTCTTCAGCAAGGCTGGGGTGCAGTAATGCGTTTTGGGGAGCGTTTAGGGCAGAACTTTGGTTTGGCCACCACCACAGAGGATTATAAAAGTCCAAACTCACCAGGAGACTTCAAAACTGGCTTCTCGCTGAATCCAAAAAGTCCAGATGAAAACAGGCAGCAACCAAGAGACGACCTTTCCTTGAAGGATAGTGGAGCTGCTGTTCCCTGGGGTCTGGGATGGCTCTTTGGAGCTTCTAAGAGCCCCAGCAACCCACCAGCAAGCAGGTTTGATGTTGATTTTTTTTTTTTAAATGTCAGTTTAGTATAATCCAGATTTTATCAGGTTTATTTATGTGATGTGTCTTTATATCTTCTTTTATACTGTAGGCGCCCATCTCAGTGGCTCTCCCCAGGCGTATCCGTCCTTTCCCGCATAGTGAATCTTGGACAGGGTTCTCCGCCTGAGAAGAGAGAGCCCCAGAGAAGCAAAGATAAGGAGGAAGACGAGAAGGAAGAGATTAATGAAACCAGAGATCAGCCAAAGCCCCTGAGGTAAAGTTTCTGTTAAGATTATTCATATTCCTAACAGATTTACATTTATGCATTTTATGAGATAAGTTCAGACCTTTTAATAGTAAAAAAATAAAGTGCTTTTGAAGGGCTTGTGGTTATTTAGGTCAATGACACAATGTTCATTTTTGTCTATTAATTTATTCAGAAATACAAAAATAAATCAAAATGGAAATCATACATTCATACATGTAATGACTTAAATGGAGTTGTATATTTTTATTGAAATGTATTTATTTATTTGCAAAACATGAATTTCTGAATTAAAATTCATAAATATTCTTTAGGGAATAAAGGAGAAAATGTCAGCGTAAAGCTTGACATAAGAGTCCTTATGTCAAGTTGAAGGAAAAAAGCCTTATTAAAAGAATGACTTTATTGAAAAGAAAATCATATGTAGTAGTTTGGCCATTTTTATTATTTCATAGAAAAAACATTTTAACAGAACTGCTTTATGGCTTAAAATATTTGAAAATAGTTTGGTAAACTTGAAGTCATGTAAGCCAACAAACATTTAAAAAAAATGCACAAAAAAAAGGAAAAAAACTAAATAAAAAAGGAAATAATATCATAGAGTATCATAATATCATAGAATATCATAACATCACCCTGCTCGTCAGTAAGTCTCTTAAAATATCAGATCATTTCAACTTTTCTTTTTTTTTTTTTATGACAAGCCAAGGTTAGTTAACATTGTAAAATGTGGTGTCAAAAATGTAATAATATTTATGCATGAATAATTCATAATATTACAAAAAAATACGTTTTATTGTAATATTTACATTTATTATTTTAAATAATTGAGATGTGTATACTCACAAATATTAGGTCTAAGCAAAACATGCCTTTTACCACATTTACATTATGTTAGATTCATCTATGACAGTTTAATATGTTGACCCATAAAGCAATCTCTGAAAAGAGTCTCTGAAGCTTTTACTATCAACAATAAGCTGAGTCTTGTGTTCTGATTCATCAGGACGGTCCGAACTCTGTGTGACCACACAGGCACTGGAACAGAGCTGAGCTTCAGGAAGGGGGAGGAGCTTGTCCTGTTGGGAGGCGTGGACCACGACTGGATTCGATGTCGTCAAGGTCACAAGGAAGGCCTTGTTCCCATTGGTTATGCTTCACTTATCATGTGACTTCTCTTTAATTTTGCCTGTATGTTTGTGTGAAAGAATATCAGGGGATAATGTATAAGGAAAAAGACCATATATAGATGTAGTTATTAGTAGCCGTGTTACGCGTTTATCTGTTTATCTCTGACCCTCGTTGCCTGGTTTGTGACGTCTGGAATATTTTCTGTGATATATTAGAAACTGTATAAATCATAAATATATATTTAGATTTTAAAAAGATAGATAGACAGATAAACAAGAAATAGAAATGGGTAATGAATAAAAATCAAGTAAAACCATCATAGTGTATTTATTATTAGGTGTGTTGCCATAACAAACAGCTCACCCGGAATCTTACTTAAAAAGCGCAAAGTTACGTATATTCGTAAAACAGCATTTCATTATAATTTTAAGTCTAATAAACAACCAATATGCATATGCGACCTATTTTCATCCGAAACTGTGTGTAAAACCCCTTAAATTTCTTACCATATCATCAGCCCAAAGGCAAGCACGTCTTCATTACTACAAAGGGCAAAGGCACGGGTTTTGGTTATTTTGGGGCTGCATTAGTACATAAATGACAGATTTACTCAAGTTAACTCTTTAATTTATTTTACAATTAATATTTTATTTTTATTGAACTGTTTAATAAGAAATTACTGGCTAATCAGTCTAAAAACGAACTGCTTGACAATTTAAATAAATAATTTTTTCCTCATAAGATTAATACTTCGTTGTCCTAATTTGTACACCAACAATTAGTAGATGAACTCTTGGTATTGCCTGAAGATGCCCTTATATACACCCTTTTATTATCTCACTTACCAGGAAAAAAATATTCTGTTTGAAAACCGACATTATTATTCTCTTATCGTTATTATTGTAACTCTCAATGGTAACAGTCAGATATACGTATTAGAGTGGTAGTGTGTAGATTATTCTTTTCTATTTCATACAGTGTGATGGCTACTGTGGTAAGATCTGTATCACCATGAGCTTGATAGTGACTATGCATACTCTGTACTGTACTGTTTATGAGACTTGTTGCTGGAGAAACGTATATGATTGATAGCATTCATGATTTTCTTTTGAATGGATATTCTGCATCTGTATAACGCTTTGAATCAGGGGTTTACATACTAAACCTGCATGAATGTGTATGAATGTGTGTAGCAAATGTCAGGTATTCATCAATACAACTTACTTGTGTGCACAAATACTTTCACTTAGACTACAAATGCTAAAGGAATAGGCCAGGATTTTAGTGGCTGTAGTAGGAAAGGTGATTTTAAATAGAGCTTGCTTATTGTTGTTCATTAAATGGCCCTCTGTGTTTCCCACATGTATGAATTTTTGTCACACCTCTGACACTGCTAATCATAAATATATTCTGAAAAATGAGAGAATAACCCGGTCACATTAGCGTGCCAGTCCGCATGGAACACAGCTTTGCTTATCACACCACATAATGATATGCCTTCTGGATTATTCCAACCAATAGCAAAAAGCAGTGGGCTACAGTAGCAGTAACCAATTCACATTGCTGTATATATAAGTAAAATTAATGTATGGGATTTATGTATATGAGTATGTCAAGGGACAGATGATACAATTTTTAAGATATAGTTTAAGAGAAAACAAAGTCTGAGATTTAGCTCCTTGAGAAGTTAGCTTTGTAATTGGCTTGAGCTTTAATGTCCCTGTTTTAAAAACAAAGAAAATATAATAAAATTGTATGGTTTGAGAAGTAAGCAAACGGCAGGGGTTCGGTAAAAAAAAAAAAATCATATTTAGTGTAATAGTCTTACCTCACAGGGCAAACTGCAATGATGCATGATTTTTATTTTTTTTTTATGATTATTATCATTTATTACTTTTAGTTATTGTAGTTGTCATTTTCATTATGACTGTGCATTTATAATTGTGACATTTGAATTTCATTAATATGTTTTGGAGAAAGAAACAGCTATGTTGCATTATAAATATAGTGTGCTTATTGTCTGTGGATAATGTACCATACTATTGATCTGCTTTTTATCTGTTCCTCTTGTCTATCTCTCTATCTATCTCCTGTGTGTGTACTTTTGTGTGGTAAGGAGTTGCGTAGCTCTGTGTGGTAATGCCCATCGCTGGTAGCACACTTAAAGCATATTATGTACTGTACCAACTCTTGAGTTCTGTAATTCCCTGTGAATCAGCTCTATGCATGTTGGTGTTTTTAAATATGCCCAATAAAATACTAAAAGAAACAATGTGCAAAGAGTGTGATGCTGAAGACGTATGATGTTGTGGCCACAAATGTAGTGTTTATGTCAGCTGCAATACCACAGGTCACATTAAGATGTCACTAAATTAACAAATAAAGCTCTTGAAAGGACAAATATGAGACAACTGCACAGATACGGCTGTTGTGATGTGTTTAATGTGACGTCAACTTCAGAACAAGCAACTTATAATATAAAAAAGTTCAAATTAGTCAAGATCAAACCTCAAGACCACATTGCAGTACAGACAATATTCCTAAACTACATATTTGCACGCCTTAAGTGCATTCACTTCTTATACACACTTTGGGATATAATATCAAACCCATTTTATGCGAGTTTGTGATTCATAGAGACAGATCTCATTTCCATTATTAATATATTTTGATCCCACACCATGATTTCTAGAGCCAGTCCCTGTGTTCTCACTAAATTTATAACACTGCCCTCTTATGGCACATAAAGAAACATTTCTCTTTTGAATATACTGTAAATACAGGTAGATATGTCATGAACATGCTTGTAAAATTATTTCAGATATCAAACCAATAATCCATAACGTATGTATATGAACTAATATTTTCTGTAATTATTCTTTATACTTTAATGTTGAAAGAATAAAGGTGACTATAATTATGGTTGCTGCATTTAGACTATTACCTATGAAGGCCAGTTTACACCACATGAGAAAAAAAGTCACATAGCCTAAAAGGTCATTATTAGAAAAAACAAAACAAAACAATCATACTATGTCATAATTATTAATATTATAACAATTGACAAAATTTTAAATCATAGTTATGACAGTCATTATGATTATGTCATAACATATTTATGACAAAACAGTCATAATTACGACATAAATAGTCATTATGACATAACAAAATTATGACAAAACAGTTGACATAACATAATTATGACATAAACATTATGACATAATTATGACAAAACAGTCAGTCATAATTATGACATAAGAAGTTATTATTACATCATTACAGTCGTGAAATAAAATAATTATGACAAAACATTCATAATTATAAAATAAGCAGTCATTATGACGGCGTTACAGTCATTATGACATCACATAATTATGACAAAACAGTTTTGGCATAAACAGTCATAATTATGGTATAAAAAGTCATAAGTGAAATTATAAAAAGTTAAAATTGAGATAAAAAGTCATAATTATTACATAAAATTATTAGTTTTTACTCATAATTATGGGTTAGTATGTCATCATTTTGACAAAATTCTTTGTCATCATTTTGACTTTATATCTTATAGTCTATAATTATGACTTAGTAATTTTTGAAGGTATGTTATAGTAATTAGAGTTCACCAAATAATTATTTTTTTTCTAATGTAGCAGAAATGGCTTTAAAAGGACAAAAAATTGTTTATGTTCTCATAATTTAGTGCGTTTAGTGCCTGTCACAAATATTCTAAGAAAAAATAAAGCAAACCACCCACTAACAAACTGAGCAAGTAAATACAGCAGCCAATAACTACTCTCTCAAGCACTATTACATCACCTCAAAAACCATAAATGGACCATTTCTTATAGCCATCTTACTAAAGTGTCCCAGACGGATCAGTTCCAGGTCACTGTGAGCGGATCAGCATTCTTCCCTCCCAGATAAGCTCCTGGAGAGAGGCTGAGGGAGTAAGGGATGGATGAAGGGTATGTGGAGGTGCGCAGTAGAGTCATGTCATCGGTGTTATAGAAGCACACCTGACACCGGTCACAGTCCAGGTACAGCCCTATCCTGCGTGGTTTCACCGTCAGATCTATCTCTGTCACTGTCTCATACTCTTTGATGCAGTAGCCTTGGTTATGCTTAAGGTGAAGCCCAATGTCCTTGTTTAAGTTGCTTATAGACCCACCATCGAAGCCCACGCTCCAGTCTATCTTTGCTCCTACGTCCACCTCCCAGTAGTGCTGTCCAGACTGGAAGGTCTTGTGGGTTCTGGCCAGAGGCCTGTAGTCTTTGTGATGCAAGAAAATCCCCTTTTTGGATGTGCGGATGACGCTGCGTCCATCAGAGGAGACCCTCAGGTATGGGTCATGACAGTCATGTATGACATTATGATCAGGAACTAAGAAAGACAAAGCATAAAAGATAAAGACAGCTTAGTTTATCATACACTACTAGTTAAAAGTTGGAAATAATTTTGATGTCTTAAATGTTTTTAAAAGTCTCTCCAAGGTTGCATTTATTTGATTAAAAATATAGTAAAAAAGCAGTCATATTGTGTAATATTATTACTATTTAATTTGTTTTGTTGAACAAATTAAATCCAGTCTTGATAGGGGAGGTGTTGTTGGTGCTGTCTTACTTGATTTTAAAAAGGCTTTTGATACCGTTAATCATAATGTTCTTTTATCTAAATTATCAAGGTTTAATTTTTCTACTAATACATTAACATGGATGGAGTCATACTTATTTCTACTAATGCATTAACATGGATGGAGTCATACTTAAATTTAAGAAAACAATGTACATGAATTAATGATGCATGCTCACCATTTCTTGACTGTAATATTGGAGTACCACAGCGGTCGATTATTGGACCAACTTTGTTCAGCTTATATATTAATGATCTGCCTACAGTTTGTCCAGAGGTCCAGGTTCAGATGTATGCAGATGATACAGTTGTTTATACTTATGCTAAGACAAAAGAACAAACTTACTGCTATCAAACTTACTGCTGCATTGAACAAAGTCTCAGATTGGCTGTCATTCTTGCCTTACTCTTAATGTGAGTAAAACTGTGGGAATGTTTTTTTTTTTCGATCAAGAAAGTTGATGAGCGTTGTCCAGATATTTTAGTTAATGGAGAGGTAATAAATATTGTTGAGCATGTTAAATATTTGGGTATGATTATGGATTCTAACCTATATAAAAAAAAAACATATTAAAAAGGTCTCTAAAAGTACTAGAGCAAGCTTGATGATCTTCAGGAATATTAGGCACCAATTAACTGTGGCTGCTGCTAAACTCTTTATGCATACAATGATCCTCCCTCATTTACCATTACTCCAGTCTTCAGTGTCACATGATCCTTCAGAAATCATTCTAATATGCTGATTTGCTGCTCATTATTATCTCATATTTTATTATTATCATAATACAAAATGTGGAAACTGTAATAAATTTAAAAAATATTTTTGTAAGGAAATTAATACTTTTATTCAGCAAAGATGCATTAAATTGATCAAAAGTGACAGTCAAGACATTTCTAATGTTACAAAAATTTCTGTTTCAAATAAATGCTGTTCAACCTTCTATTCATCAAAGAATCCAGAAAACATGCAGGACATTTCCCACAAAAATATTAAACAGCAAAAACTTTTTTTTTTTTTTTTACATTGATGATAAGAACCATTATACAATAATCCTGAAAACATGCATCACAGTTTCCACAAAAATATTAAGCAACAAAAAGCATTATTAATAGCTGAGCATCAAATCAGCATATTAGAATTATTTCTGTGGGATCATGTGACACTGAAGTAATGGCTGATGAAAATTCAGCTTTACCATCACAGGAATTAATGACATTTAAAAATGTATTCAAATAGAAAACAGTTATTTTAAATTGTAATACTTTTTCACAATATGGCTGTTTTTACTGTATTTACAATCAAACAATGCAGCCTTGGTGTATAAATATTGATATTGTAAATTTGCAAAATGTACATTTTCATAATAGACATGTATATACTTTTGCATTCATTTTAATACATGGTCCACAAATGGATATCTGATGTCCTCACCTGGTTTGATAAAGCTCAGCATCTCCTTCCACGCAATAAACTGCAAGTGAGTCTCATGAAGGCCAAGGAACAGAGAATTAGGTGTCAAATTCACACTTTTCACTGCTGATTTGAACCTACAATGCAAGAGATGAATGTAACTGATGGGATATTTACTGTACAGTGGCGGTTATGTTTATCTGAAGCATAGCAGTATATTGTCCTACTTGGTTGTTTGAGAAGCAATGTCATTATTTTCACAGCAGCTTTCTTTCTCTTTCATCTCTTCGACAAAGTCCAGCCCTTTCTCAGTCCACCACTACAGGAGAAGTAGAACCAGATAAAGAAAATGGTTATTATTTTGAGAACCGCAGCTATGAATAACCCAGTGTTACATATATGCAACAATTATGTAAATTGTTTTTTCTGCCTATTCCCAAAAATCACATCCTTAAACTTGCTTTTTCACTCTCAATATTCAATGTTCAT